GCAACATACAAGACACAAAGTGCGTTTGGTAGGCCTACTTTCTTTGGAACCGGAACCTTAAAACAGACGGACAAGGGTTAATTAAAAGCACATTATGAATATATTTTAAATACTATTGCAGATCTAATTTCTCATCAATTGAAATACATCAACAGTCTAAATTGAACGACTGCTTTGTTACACATTTTTTTTTTAAATCCTTATATATAGCCTATTTTGTCGATTGTGAAACACGTACAAACAGCCATTACTAATTACCATACTTCTGCATTGTCTTGTAGGATGTGGTTTTTTTTGTGCATTACAAATGGCGCCCAACCCCATAGCTATTGCCTAATTATGATGGAAAATATCGAGTTAGAGGTTATAGCTCCTTATGTCTTATAATGTCATTTTCTAACATAAAAGGTAATAGCCGTCTTCATTAGCCTAGTCGGAGCAGAGCAGTAGGGGAGAGCGGGGTTGGTTCGGACACTTTTGGGTTTTTCACATTTGTGCAATTACTAATGCACTTGTCTTTGAACTTAAAATAGACTCTACCTTATTGGCTATATTCAGTCAGTGATACAGCTGTGTAGCTATAAAATTCTTCGTATTGGACCATCCTTTGGGGAGGTTAGTAAAATGTCCGGATTAACCCCATTGCAGGGAGACACCGGTCACTACTGGGGGATACTTTGGACAAGTAAAGGACGATTAAACAAAAGCAAATTGAAAAGGTTTCTTTCACAGTTTAGTTGTATTCATTCGAAAAATACCGTTAACAATAAAGTTAAACCAGTAGTGATAAATTTAAAGCAAAATGTCATCTATCTGAGGCATTTTTTTAAACATATCTGGATGGAAATAAATGAACATATTTAAAAAGGAATTAACTGATAATTCTAAAGCTTTAAAGCTTCTTGCTATTCTCTAGGTATGATGTCAATCCATAATTTACATCGAAAACGCTACCAAATGTTTATTTCTGCAAAATTTGTAGTAATAACTCACCCCATTATTGCTACTGGATAAGGGTTTATGAAGAATTGACAGAATTTGATTTAATGGAAGTAAAGCAGTACCCATAACTTCAGTAAACCTAATAGACCCCGTAACTGCCAGTCATCATTCTTTTTTTTCTTTTTTTTTTTATCAAATCTGACTCTTGGAAATATTTAACAGTTTGATCCAAACACTTGTGGGGTAATTCCGGACAGTGTCCGGATGTACCCCAAACCCATAATTCTGATGTAAGCCGCAATTATGTTTATTTACAATGAAAATATGATAGATTTTCAATCTATTTCTATTAATTAGCGAAGGAAGAAAGAGATGACAGCGTACCCCAAAAAGAAACTTGTTAAGAATTGATTTAACCATTTAACATTAGAAATTTTTTACATCAACTTTGTCAAAAATAGAAAAATCTTATCTGCATCTACATTTGAATGTTTATCTCTGCCATGTGTTTTTCATGTTACAAGATGAGATCATTAGTCAATCAGAAAACGGATAGCATTGTAAAGATTAAAACTATGGGGGGTCTCCGGACCATCCAACTGTCCGAACCATCCCCGCTCTCCCCTACCTTAAATCACATTTCATTTCATACGCGCAAGCGAATTATTGAAATAAAATTAAACCATATGTTAGTCCCGAAATGACCTAGTTTGTGTCGAGTGGACGTTAAACTCTCTCTCTCTCTCTCTCTCTCTCTCATTTCATTTTAAAGGTAATAGTTATTTTCATGATTGGCGCTAGGAATATGTTTGCTAACTTTATTTCGAATCCGGGTGATGGAATACGCAATACGCGGATGAGAAATTGCGTTCGGTCAATTAGCTTCCAAGTTCCAGTTTCAGTTTGCTACACTATATTTGATCCTCCTCCATACAGTGCATACTCCATGTTTCAAGAGAGAACATTTTTTATTCGTTGGAATAATTAATAGTAGGCCTACGTACAATGGATTTGATTTTACCGGAGGTGTTTTCAATCAGGTAAGTTTTGTGGTTTGATTATGGGACAATAAGAACTGGTAAATGGGAGGCCTATAGAAATGGTTCCAATGTACTAGGGCAATGCACTCCGATATCCGATAGCCTACTGATCTGATGTCTTCCTTCTTGCTCCAGCGACTGTAGTGGATCGGTCTAACTTCTAAGGACTTCCTTTGAGCACGTTTTGTCGTCATTTACTGGCCTATAACTCCTTTAATTTCCAATTACCGGTAAAGCAATCGCTAATATTGTCACCGAGAAATTGACACAAATGAGGCGCAATCCATAGGCCAATAAATAATGTAATATTCCATTATGAATGTAATGTCATTACAAATGGCACTGAAAAACGCATTATAATGGTACGTAACCGGGTACCGTACACGATTCGTGTACCTATAATGAATGGTAAAATGTTTATTTTGATCAAAAGCCATCTTAATCTTTTCCCGGTAAGATCACAACATCAATGTTAATTGAATTGACAAATAATTTGTGTTGTCAATGTCAAAGACTTTGGATGATATAAGTTTGAGACTAAGCTACCGTAGGCCTACCGTAGGCCTACTTTAAACCGACCCCAAACTGTAACTGCATATAGGCCTATATATATATACATCTTAACATATAACAAGTCCCCATTGAATTAAAGGTGAAACTTACCACATAAATTCATAAATTTAATAAACTCCAGTGGCTACGCGATATTTCTGTCCCTTTTAAAATGGCTGCCGAAGCAGAATTAGAACATGCACAAGATTTCAACTCACCTTGAAAATATACAAAAACTATTCGGTAACAAAGATTAAGATTTCAGAGTTCTACACTTCACTATTTATTTGTAACATAATTACTAATTTCTATGCAAATGTGTTGAAAATTTTGCAATTTAAGCTATTTTTACTTGCGCAAAGGCTCGTAGTTTGTATCAATTTTAGCCGTGAATAAAACAATTATCACGGCTACAAATATTGTACTGGTAGAGCCCTGCAAGAAGTGTGAAAGTGCAGTTCATACAAACAGTCACAGATCTCCATAGTAAAATTAAATTTTCAAAAACTAACAAGAGCAAAATGAAATGGAGTTTAACGTCCTACTGTTCTGCTCCTAACCTGGGCTAATGAAGACAGGCATACGCCATACAGTGTGCTATGAGGGAAATTTTGCCCGGACAGCGGCACTACGGCCTACTCTTATATCGAATTCCAACTGCCAAGGGATCTTTTACGTGCACGCCAATGTGTACACGGGACCTCGGTTTTTCGTCCCATCCGAACAACTAGACAGCTTTCCTTGTCAGCCCCTCCGTCCTGCATCACTGACAAGGGGGAACCACGCCGGAAAATCTGGATGAACTTTCTCGGCCAATGCAGGGATCGAACACCCGACCTCCAGGCTAGCGGGCTAGCGTCTTACCCACTTAGCCACGTGATCCCCGCACTAAACAAGAGCAGTATAGTTTATACAAGGAAATTCTGAATGATGGGTAGGCTATTGTTATATTTTACAATACCATGTCAGGTGGGAGGGGGGTCCAGAAATTTCAGAGCTCCAAATTGAACTTTTTTGTACCGGTATTTTAGGTACCGGTAACTCCGGTAGTAGCAATTCATAAGTGTTGAAGTTGAAGGTGCAAAAAGCAAACATGCGGGTGGGGATTTCCTCAGAAAATTTAGGATTACGGTATGTAACACGCTGTAGATGCCATTTCGCAAACACACTTTAATGCAGTGACCGCCCTAGACATATGATTTGGCTAAAAATTTGGCTAAAGAGTCTAGGGCAGTCACTGTTTATGGTGAACCATATGCAGCTCTTATTTGGGTATCTTGCATAGCAACTGTTTGTTTAATAGAATTTTTATTGCTATAGAATGAATATTCACTAATACACAATATATTTCAAAATTTAATGAATCCTTACAAAAATAATGAAAATTATATTTGAACTTAAAATGGGAGATCAGATAAAGAGCTGACAGTTATTACTATATAGTTAAAAAACAGAAAATGTAGGCTAAAGGCACTTTGCTGAAAATTTCAGTCAAATTGATCCACTCAGAACCAAGATTTTAGCAATTGAATTTTGGGTTTAGCTCAATCATTACTAAAGTCGGTACGATAAAAAACATAGTCTCGATTATCCATTTTTTGATTTAGTTATCAATGAGCATTAAGCAGCAGATAGGATTCTAAATCAGAAAATATCGCAGGCTAGCGATGACATCGAGAGTTGATTATGGTCTGGATAAGTTAATTAATGTCTAATTAATAATTTAGATAACATTTCAGGCCTAAAGATTTAGCTCTTGCATAATGTATGTTTAATATGAAAACATAGTTACCGGTATAGGATTATATAGGCTGATCTAATGTAAAATTATATGTGATTGGTGCCAGCATAATCAGTCAATTGGGTCACTACACCAAAATTAGTTCTCCTGCAAGTCACAACTGTAGGCATTAAAATGCAACAAAAATTGCTGTTCGGAATACTAGTTGTAAAATTATTTTAAGTGAAATAGATCACTAATTTTGATTGTTTTTAGGGAGATTAAACATCCTTTATTAAAATCAATTTTTGAGGCATTTAGAGTTCAAACAAAGAAAACATTTCAAACTATTGTTTGGTGATGATAACTGAAAATCAATAATTTCACCACTGACTGCTGTATATAGCCTGTAGTGCAAAATAAATGAATGTGACTTCCGACTGATTTTGCTGGCACTGGACACATATATACATGTACATATAATTATAAGTTTAAATGTATATTATACTAACTCTACATGTATTTCAAAATGTGATAACAACATTATTTCAAAATATGTTACAAAATACGTATGTATTACCATATTTTACAAAATATTACCACATTATTATGTTACAAAATATTACCATGTGTTACAAAATATTACCATGTGTTAAAAAATATTACAAAATATTACCATGTGTTACAAAATATTACCATATATTTCAATATATTACTACCATATATTTCAATTACTACCATATATTTCAATATATACAATATTATATTTCAAAATATCACCATATTATATTTCAAAATATCACCATATATTTCAAAATGTAATTACTTAACTCATTCAAAATGTAGTAACTACTATATTTCAAAATATAATAACTTGATTTCAAAATTTAATTACCATAGTATTAATTTTGTACAGTGTGAATTCTGATGTACTGGTATGTAATATTGAAATTAGATTAATAACAAGAAAAAGGGCATTTTATTAACACACAGCAATTTATTACCTCTCAACAAATAGATATAGAATTCAGAGATCTTTATTAACCAATACATACGACGTACATAGTACGTTAATTAATACCATGGACCAGCCATTCTTATAGAAAAATACATCTTAATAAAGTTAACCTTCATGGACCAGCCATTCTTAATACCATGGTCCATAGACCAGTCATTATTTTCATTTGAAAATACGAAAGAAGATTACATTTTTCATTGAAAAATGTAATTGTTTATTTTTTATTTTTTTGTGATTTTATTTTAAAAAAAAAAAAAAATAACAAGCCAACAGTGAGGCTTATGTCCCCTGCTGATATCCCAAAATAAATAGATGATACATACAAATTAATTTCACATTTTTTTTTTTTTTGTGATTTTATTTTAAAAAAAAAAAAAAAATAACAAGCCAACAGTGAGGCTTATGTCCCTTGCTGATATCCCAAAATAAATAGATGATACATACAAATTAATTTCACATTTATCAATTATCTTTTTGAAAAATATTGAGCAGTCTAAGCAGAAAGTCTTCACGATCGAACTCAGTCAAAGTTTGACATTCTCCATCAGAAACACAGAACAAAGATATCTTGCCCAAAAGCAATAACCAATGAAATTGCTTAGTTCTGCTTAGCTTTAGCAGAAAATGTTTAATCAATGAATTCAATTAAAATCTGAGTTGTTATGTTCCAAAGTTTTGACCAATCAAATTGCTTATCGCTACTTATCTTAAGTAGAAAATTCTCATCATCAAACTAGAGAGAGAGAGAAAGAGAGAGAGAAAAATGGGGTTTAACGTCCACTTGACACAAACTAGGTGTAGGGGTCTTTAGCAGTGGGAAGAAACCGAAGGATGTGGGCGACCCTACTCCTTGTCACATACAACCGGGGAATTGAAACCACACCGGTTGACTCAATGACAAGACCTTATGATACAACGCGCTCGCGCTAACCATCCGGCCATGCAACCCCCCATCATCTAACTAAGTCATGGTTGTTGTTCTTATTGTTTAACAGCCGCTTCCACCGAAGGTGATATCGCAGACAAGTTGTCTTATTTTCATTGTTATTATCTTAGCTCACGTGCAGAGGTCTTTTCTGTGGGAGGAAACCGGAGTACCCAGAGTAAACCCACAAGGTTGAGAAGGCGTTCCTATCTCCAAGCCATATACGCTCAGACCAGGGATCAAAACCACAACCGCAAGCCAGAGAAAACCTGCCAGCTAGAGGTCGAAGCGTGACACTCTAGACCACTGGGCCATCCCAACCCCCCTTAAGTCAAGGCGATGGTATAATGAATTTATACTTCTTGAGTTTCATCACTCTCATCCAATTAGAACCAAAGTTATCATGTTCCAAAGTATCAACCAATCAAAATTAATGGAAAATGCACATCATTAAACACTGTCAAGGCATTCACCTAATAAACACCTACACCAAGTTTGAACATTCTACCTCAATTAGAAGGAGAGTTATTATGTTCCAAAGTCTCGAACACACAGACTGAAGTGTCTACTTAGCCTAGCAGAAAATGCTCAGCATCAAACTTAGTTAAGGGATCTAATGAAACTGTTCACAAAGATTCACCATTCTCACTCAATTAGAACCAAAGTTATCATGTCCCAAAGCATCAACCAATCAAATGGCTTCATCTTCGAACTCCATCAAGGCATTCACCTAATAAACACCTACACCAAGTTTGAACATTCTAGCTCAGTTAGAAGTAGAGTTATTGTGTCCCATTAAGTGTGATGAACAAAAGGATAAATGGACAGACAGACGAACAGACCCATTTTAATAGTCTCCTGCTTTCTGTATTCATTATTTGTTTAAAATATACATAGATTTAGTAATTAAGTAAACCCTTGATTTCCAACATTCTGGTCTTTACTCACAGACCTTCATCAGGGAAATGAAGTTCACAATGTGTACATTTATATTTATTCCCTATCATTTTTTTTAAATATTTTCTTTCACCTGATCAAAGTTTTCTATTTTACTTTATTTCATTTTTTATTTGATAAATATACATTAATTCATTTAGGCAGAGGTGATTTGACAAGACACAAATCGCCATCCGTTTTCTTTATTTGCCATCCTATTTTTAAAATCGATATTCTCTGTCCTTTTACGATGTCTGGTCGAAGGGTAATATTGCTATCAAGCACTTAAATTAGTTTAACTTTTTCCTATAAAATGAACAGACATCATTTTGTTTGCATTAAAAATGGTTGCCTTCCTTACGATTTTTTCGAGAAAAAGAAAATGCCACATCAAAGTACTATTTGTTACAAGTCACACTTAAAGAGTTTGTGACATTCTTATTTCAGCTTCATACGTTCGCCCAATATTGTCCGTAGCATAGTTTTCATTTCTTTCTGCCATTAGGGGTCGTCTGTCCAACTTCGTTGGTTTTTACCGGGTCCTCCGCTAGCCTTCCACTTCTAAAGACCCCTATACATGTACCGGTACCATTGAATTATTGAAATAAATTGAACCATCAGTTAGTCCCTAGGAGTGAGTAAGTGATAATTCCCGAAAAAATGTCACTGTTTATTAAAAATACCTTCCTGCGTACAAACCAGGTGATTTGATGATTTATTTAGACGAAAAACATTCGAAATAATTAATCTATCAAAATTTGGCTTCAAAATCCTTCTAAAAACATTGTATTCACAAGGAAATACCCCAAGCTATAAAAAATAAGTCATGTTTCCAAGTCCGCTCACCATCAAGTTTATCAACATATATAACATCAAGCGTGCAACCTGTGATGTCACTAGAGCAGACATCCCTAATCATCATTTTTGTCTTGTATGTGCTCCATGGGTGTTTTTTTTTTATGGAATCCAGTATTTTTCTAGTAAGATTGGGTGTTTCTACTTTCCATACCAAAATTGCCACACTTTTATTGGAATTAACCACCCGATAAATACTTTTGTGAGACTATATCTTTAAAGTACCGGTACTGGTATTACATCTTCAAGTATTACAAAAACACTTTGACAGATATTTCTAGTGGTGGGGTACCCCCGACAGAGCTATGTAATTTCCAGACATTTGTAGTGGTGGAGTATCCCTGACAAGAGTTATCTAATTTCCAGACCACAGCTTGGCTAGATAAGCTGGAATCTGTACCACCTAAAAAAGCTTTGGAGTTGTTCAGTACCACCACAGGAATCATGAATGACCACTGCCAGTCAGTTTGTGCGATGGGTTACCCCTAACAGACACGCTCAAAATGCCACACCCACAACTAGACTAGATCAGCGGGCACTGTTCCTGTCTTCCAGGATGCGTAGAATACTAATACCTAGCACATATGGAAGAGGCGATAATCTGTGTTTGCAAGAAGTTGTTTTTTGGGCAAAAAATGTTTTATGGGGATAAAAAATGCATTTTTGATAAAAAAGAAAATTGTATCTATCACAATCTGTTCAACCAGTGACCCGTCTTCATTACCCCAGTCATTTTTACCAGTAACAACCAGTTATATGCTATGACCTGTAACACAAAATACTTTGATGCTTTGGATAATGGTCACAATTGGTCACAAATTTTAACAGTATACAGTTTTCTCAATATCAACTTTAACAATAGTCTCATACAATTAACAAAAATACACTATACAACTACTGTATCGTGTAGTTGTGCTTATTTTGCAGGAGTTTCTATTTATATGTATGGCAAGGTTTGGGGGATTTTGTGTGGAATTTTTCACCATAAAAGTTGCACAAGGTATTGGACAGATATTCGACTAAATAAATCTCATTGAAATTTAAGAGTCTGTGGAATGTAATTTTTATACGACCACATTGAAATGTGGTCGTATATTGTTGTCGCCCCCGTCAGTCCGTCCGTCCGTTGGTCATTGTGGACGCTCTAGAGGCTAAAGTTAATATCCGATTGACTTTATATTTATACACAGTGTTTAAGGTCATGAGACGAAGAAGCCTATTGATTTTCAGCGATTTCCGATAATTACTGCCAGAGTTATGGCCCTTGATCACTTCAAAAATCTTGTGGACGCTCTAGAGGTCAAAGTTAATATCCGATTGACTTTAAATTTATAATAAACCTATTGATTTTCAACGATTTTCAATAATTACTGCCTGAGTTATGGCCCTTGATCACTTCAAAAAATCTTGTTGACGCTCTAGAGGTCAAAGTTAATATCCGATTGACTTTAAATTTATACACAGTGTTTGAGGCAATGAGATGAAGAATCATATTGATTTTCAACGATTTCGGATAATTACTGTCAGAGTTATGGCCCTTGATCACTTAGAAAAATCTTGTGACGCTCTAGAGGCTAAAGTTATCATCCGATTGACTTCAGATTGATACACAGAGTTTAAGGTCTTGAGACGAACAAGTATATTGATTTTCAATGAATCTTTACGACTTGAACAGCTAAATCCATGATGTTAAAAGTTTTGTATACTAAACGTTAGCATGGGTCAGAACTTTATAAAAACCAAACAAATTCTAATGGTTTTCTGATAATTACTTAATGAGTTGTTACTCTTAATCAGATTTTAATGTATTATAAATGTTTCATTACCAAAAAAAGTAAAAATATGCGACAACTCTTGTTGACTGCCCGGACGATATAGCTGCTGTGGGCGTATGTTTCGTTGCCTGGCAACCTATCTTTAGAAGTAATTTTGGTCTGTGGTATTTTTTCACAAGATATTGTACTAAGAAAAAAATTCAAATTTTTCAAAAATTTTTTTACAAGACGAGTTTCACAAGATATTGTACTAAGAAAAAAATTCAAATTTTTCAAAAATTTCTTCTGAGACCCATTTATCTCCATTTGTGGTACTACATGCCACAAGATTTTCGACCAAAAACATTCTATCAGAATCACCGGTATTCTTGTGGCACTTTTGTGGTAAAAATACCACAGACCAAAAAGTATTGAGAAAATCTTGTGGAATGTGTCACTACACCGGCAGATAAGGGTGTCTGAGCATATATATTTTTGAAAAATGTTTTTTATTTCTTTTTTTCGAGTCAAATATCTTGTGGAACTCTTGTGGTGAAAAACACCACAGAATAAAATCTGGTGGAAGATACTTTCTCTTACAAGATGATATGATAAACAATAAATGTTCCAGCAAAATAAAATAGAAAATATTTCATCAATTTTTCATGGTTCAACATTTCCAAACGGCCCTAAACCTTGCCATGTCTAATTAACAAACTAATTATTAACTGAAAGGAATCTATACAGTTATAAATCCAACACTCATTATTTGAGCTAGACAAACCGTTTTAAACTATGCGACAGTAGAAACCCAATAGTTTTCTAAGTTGTAGTGATAATCGCTAAAATTTACATGTGTACATTAATGCATTATATGTTTTGATTTTACAGAATAATCTGAAAGATGGTGCTTGAAAACGCTCACATTTGACAATACATAATTGATTATACAGATAAATCATCTCTTAAAAGAAACCCCGGATAATAATAATAATAATAATAAAAACTTTTTTTAATGAGGCAACTAGTTTGCAAAAAACAATAACTAATCTTCCATAAGTCCTTCCTAAGCTACAAAGACATATATACATGTAATATCAGGATAAATTCAAAATCATTTGAAATGCAATAGCATTTTAAAGTGAGAAGTTTGGGTTAGTAAGTCACTCCTAAACTACACAACATATACACGTAAAATATAGGAAGAACATTAAAATTACACACAAAATAAGATAGAATGCAGTTGCAAGTTAAATATACACCAAAAATAATAAGTATGTCATCAGTTGAATATTATGGTTTCTTCATTGCTCAATATAAATGAGTTTTCAGTGTAATCTTAAAATTTTCAACATTTTTACACATTTTTATGTCCAAAGGTAGATTCTTCCATAAAAGACATGCAGAATAATGAAAAGTATGTTTCATGGATTCCATTTTGCATTTCGGAAGGAACAGAGATTTACTGGTCTGTGAACAGAGCAAGATATCAGTTTTGGAAACAAGATTTTTCACTAAAATAGGAGTTTAGATAAAGTGGAGTCTTAAATGTAATAAATTTGAGTGATAAGACATATTATAAAGTTAAAATGAATGTGTGAAATAATGAATATATCGCACAAACGGAAAATCAGCAGTTTGTTGTTTGCATTGGGTGGTCTGGACGAACCATGTCCAGTGGCGGCTGCAAATTGTAAGTGGCCTGCACCAAATTCTCAGAGCATTCTGTAGGCATCCTAGCTCTGGTTACTGAACCGCCATTTTGTTCATCACAATCTCTTCTGCATTCAAGAGGGTTTATATTGGCATTCCCGTTGTGACCTTTAGACAGAACTGCCGTGCTCACATTACCATTGATAATGGTACAGTCATGATATGAGGTTGCAGGTACATGAACACCTTGTGTCTGGTTTAGATCTGTTCTTTGCTGTTGTAAATGTGGACTTTGTGGTATTTCAGAAGCAGCCGGTTGGTTAACTTGATGAATAGGTTCTGGGAGGTTATTGGTTTGTGCTGGTGGTGGTGGGGCTGACGCTTCCATTGGTGATCTAGAGTCTGGTACTGCAGTTCTGTAGATCTCTTTCTCTTTTGCTTGATTATTATCTTCTATTGTTTTGTATGTATTATGGTATTCCTGATTTTCGACTTGATCAACCAAAATGCATTTCTTCTCTGAAGAAATCTTTTGATAAGCTTGAAGTTTGTCTTCTTGAGGTGTTTGGTTTTCTATTAGACCCTCCTTCTCCGGCGATTGCTCACCAGGAACGATTACTGTGAGCATGTTTCCCTTATTACTTCCACAGCATAGAGCTATAAAACAAAATATAAGTTAATCAGTTATTATTGAGTTATTTACAAGTTTGAATGGGTGATTGTCTAAAATATGGCATGTGCACAAAAGTATGATGATCAATCCCATTTCATGTCATTTATATATTTAGCTTACTGTATTTGCAATATTGTATGTACGGGGTATGTGAACATCCTATAGATGTTAACCAGAATGACTATCTTACTATTCCATATAAAAACTCGACTATACGGATAAATCATCTCTTAAAAGAAACCCTGGATGATAATACAATTTCTCTCCATTGGCATTAAATACTAATTAATGATACCTGAAGATTGACACTGCTTCCAGCGAGCATCAATAAGATTTTCCTTGAAAACAACAACAACAGCAACAATGCAACCCAGTATAAATCCAACAATTGGAAGAATTCGGATGATTACTTTTTCTGAAATTAATAATTTTATTCACCTTTAAAGTAGCTAAGTCTCTAACTCAATATCATCAAAAATCTTCGACATTGAAAAGACGAATTATTTGTCAATTCAAATCAACATTGGTCTTGTGATCTTACAGGGAAAAGATGGGCTTCTGATATCCAATATTCAAGACAAAATAAACATTTTGTCTTTGGTACACGAATCGTGTACCATAATGCGTTTCAATGCCATTTGGAACAAGGGACTCAAAGAATCAGGCTAGACATATTCCACAAGTCAAATGGTGACGCTATATTCTTATCTGGAGAGCATGCTCAATAAATACCATCGGTTTAGACTGGAATAACCAGACGCTAAAGATTGTCTTCAATTAAGACTTCTGGCGTATTTCGCCGAACATAACTGATTAGAAATTACAGTAAAAACAGAAAAGATTGAATGTAAATCAGTTTATATACATTCATATTACATTATTATATGCGTTGCGGCCCATTTGTGTCAATTTCTAGATCCCAAATATTAGCGATTTAGCTCCTTTAAGTTGGGTTTTTACCTGTGTTATTTAGACAAAATGTTGAGTTTAATTTGACTTTTGCATACAACGATCAACTTTCGTGCATAAGTCAGATGTCGCCAAAAACACTGCTTAAGAAGACCCCCGACCCTTCCTCCCTTAAGAACACCCCCTTTACACCCCCTCCCCCCCACGAGAGATGAGTTAATTCAATTTGCGCGTATAACATTAATTTTTTCGTTAGTTTCACTATTGGTCCACTAGTTTAAAGTCACATTATGATTATTATTAGGATATAGTGCAACTTTCAGAAGTACCCAGATGTTCTTTACATGAAGACGATATATATAACAGAATACTTAAATAAATACAAATCAGTACTGGTACTTAAAAGTTAAACAAAAAGGTTTTTCCCCGACTGTAGTGTTTGAGTAAAATATTTATAATTTCATGTTTTTGGTCAAAATTGAGGCAAATAGCAAACATGCTACAGTTTCTGTGTAGAACAGTAGTAACATGTGCTAAAGAGTTTGGCCAGCTTAAATACAAAACTTATTTTAAACTCAGTTTATTCCAAAATTTTGGAGCCCTGGTAACACAGATCAGGTATTTGGTTCAAAGTTAATGTTTTTCCTAGGATTTGACCAACATTCACATATGAGGTCTAAGCATATGAGAAATTTAAGTACACTTACGTGAACTTATCTCTTTATTATTCCGAACTATCAGATCGTCTTTAAATCTCATCATCTTGGTCAAATTCTCAATTTTCTCATCCTTGTCTCGATTCTGCTCTTCAATAATGGTGAAATTATTTTTTACTGAAATGTACAAGAGCCCAAATAGGCTTAATCACCCATCGGTGAGTTGAATTAGGCTTTCAATATTATAATTAGGTTTTCAGACTTTCGTCTAAAAGCTTATTGTGATTACTTAAATTATTATTAAGATTTCATATGAAAGCTTATTAGGGTTTCACACTGCGTAGCTTAGTGAAACACTATTGTTTTTGTTCGGATTATTATTCTTCTTATTATTTTTTTTTTTCCATTTTGATCATATCTCAGAAAATACTTGTCGGATTGAACTAATTTCTTTGGTTTTACTGGGAAAGTGGGTGTGACTTAGAGATTAAAGCTATTTCGAATGTTCTGCGACAATGCGAAATGTCCGAAGTTGTCGTTTTATGAAATAATGCCGTAATATTAACAAAAATCGTTGGATTTTAACACTTGATAGATTTTGACATAGCCAGAGACATAGCTACGATTCTTTAGATTTTTTATTTTCGACGAATCTTCGGAAATATTAGGCGCAAAATTTTGAAAATTTAAATGAATATTAATGAATATTTTTTATGGCCTTTTACCCAGGGTTAAAGGGTCGTCTGATTTGAGAAAAAATGTGAACATATTTTGTCTCGATGATTTTGGCCGCTATTGGCTGATTCAGTTTATCGGTTCTAGGTTAATTATTTATTGCCCGAATTTTATAAAACAAAGTTCACATGCTCCATGGTCCAAAATGTCATTTTTTTTGTTACCAGTAAAGTTACCTTTCGGCAACGGAAGTGACATAAATTTAGCAAAAACTACAATTTTGACAGTTCGGTACCACTTTTTTAAAGCAAATATTATTTTTTTCAAATCTGGTATGACTCAAAGAGTGTGTGCCCTGTAAAGGCGCAGAAAACATCGGGCTCACTTTTTTTAATTTCGATTTTGTTTTCGGATCATTTCGATTTTAAGGTGAAAAAAGGAGCTATTCTGTATTCACAACCCATTCAGGGTTTTCGTAATTTAAAAAATTTCTTCGCAACTTTAATAAACGTGTAGCAATAATCCATACGAAGAGAATGTATGTGAAAATTAGTTTGTAATATGAGCAGTTGCCGAGAAATAGGCAATTTTGCATAAGTCTCTTTTTACGCTATTTTGCCAGTAAGAGAGCCAATTTTATTGGATTTTCATAAAAGTGACACTATTTGATGCGTAATGTCAATTTTGACTAGGCTAAACCAATTTAACTTTTTCAATGTCACCAGAAATGACGTAATTTGGGCAAAAACTGTATTTATAGCCTTCGAAACAAATAATTTATTCAAATGAGTCGTATTTGTTATTTGTTTATAATTTTGATATTTGGTTCCAATCACTAATAGAATGACCCCATACGATCATATAGATATCACAAAATGGTTTCTAATTTGTTCAGTTGCGGAATAATAGGCGATTTTCAACAGGTCACTTTTCAAGGTCATATTGATATCACAATACCTTCCCTTGCCGAGATATAACCAAGGATCACTTTTTAAGATTTTTCGCTTTTAATTTCAGTTCATTGGTTCTGGGTTAATTATTTATTGCCTGATTTGTGTAAAAGAAAAACCCATATCGCCCAAAACTGAACTTTTGACGTGTATAAATTCTTTTAAAAAGCAAATCTTAATGTTTACAAATCTAATAGATCAAGCTGATTGCTCCTACTAAAGATGCAAAATATGTCTGTATTAGTTTTTTGTTTTTTTTTCGGTTTGCATTTGCGCCATTTTGATTTAAAGGTTAAAAAGGGTGTAAAATAAGCTACTTACAACGCATTCAGGCTTTTCATATTTTAAAATATTTCTTGACAACTTCCATGAAATGAAATGAACTGAAATGGGGTTTAACATCCTACTGTTCCAACTTTCATGAACCTGTAGCATTAATCTATACGATGAAAATGTATGTCAAAATAAGTTTGTAATATTGGCTGTTGCCAAGAAACAGGCAATTTTGCACGAGTCACTGTTCACGTTATTTTGCCTGTAAACAAGTTAATTATAATCCGATTTTCTATTTTGTTTCACCATGTGATGCCTAATACCATTTTTGACTGGGTGGATCCGATTTTACATTTTCACTGTCACCGGAAATTTCGTTATTTGGACAAGAACAGTATTTTTTTAGCTTTCAAAACAGATATTTTATTGAAATGAGTCTCATTTGTAATGTTTTCAAAATGTTGATATTTGCTTCCAGTCAACAAATAGAAGGAACCCATACGATGATACAGATACCACAAAATAGTTTCTAACTTGTGCGGTTGCAGGGGGGGTTGGATGGTCGAATGGTTAGCACGTGCGTGCTGTATCATAAAGCCCGTCATTGAGTCAACTGGCGTGGTTTCGAATCCCTGGTTGTATGTGACAAGGAGTAGGGTCACCTGTCCAACCTCGCGGGTTCTCTCCGGGTCTTCCGGTTTCCTCCCACTGCTAAAGACCCCTACGCGCAAGCGAACTATTGAAATAAAATGACACCATATGTTAGTCCCGAAATGACCTAGTTTGTGTTGAGTGGACGTTAAATCCCATTTCTCTCTCTCTCTTGTACGGTTGCAGAGAAATTGCGATTTTCTACAGGTCACTTTTCAAGGTTTTTGGTCTATTCCAGTAGCAATTATTTTTCGATTTTCATAAAATTTTCACCATGTGATGCCTAATGCCATTTATGATTTCATAGAACAGATTTAACATTTTCATTATTACCGGAAGTAATGTTATTTTGGCAAAGGCTGTATTTTTAGCCTTCAAAACAAATATTTTGTTGTAATGAGGTATGTTTATTATTCAATTAATATTATGATATGTGACCCCCCATGGCATACTGAGTCGCAGTGAGGAAATTTTGAAAACGGTGTTATTGTTATTTTCAGATTCTCCAACTCATTACCTTCAATTTGAAGTATAGTTTGTTTGAATCGGGCAAAAATTGACTGAGTTGTGTCCATTTGAAGCTACCCAATTAAGTAAATTTTGAGAAAAAGCAAGGCAAAGATTTGGTATGTTCCAAAACAAAATCCCATAGCAACCAGGCCATTTATTTGCTGTTTTGTCGTTGAATATATCTTTCCATTGGTTTTCAGGGGTGCTTAAGACGAAAATCGTAGTAAAAATTTGATCCGACGATTCCCGCCATTTATTTGCTATTTTGTCGTTTAATATTTTTTTTATTTAAGATTTCAAGGGTGCTGACGACGAAAATCGTAGTAAATGCATTCCTTACTTTGCATGCCGTATGAAGAAGCGACCGTAAAAAGAATTCATCTATCAATAAAATTCTCTTTGAAAAGAAAATTATTGGCCATTTTGTTTATTTCCATTTAAGACCTATAAATTATTTTTTTAAAGATGATATGAGATATCAAATAATCACCGCTTGGAATAATTATTCGTAGTAAATAAGGAGTTGTCGACGGCTTTATCATTGACCCGTGACAATTGATTAGTATTACTCAATGACACACACCCGCTTGTCGATAAATTTACATAATCAGCCACATGGTTTTGATTAACACTCAACGGCAATCTATATACGATCAGAATTAATTTTTTTTCTGCCACTTATCAGAGTGAATCGCATGTAGGTACCCAAAAACATTATCATCAAAACCAAATATTTATCGCCCGCTTGAGTCAGCCACGTAACCATAATGCTTTGCACGAGGTGTCTGGGCCAATCAGCAAACAAGTTTTGTAGACAGCATAGCAACAAGCGGAGTTTGTTTATATTTTTTAGGGGTTTTAAAACTTAATTGTATCCGTTCAAAATCAATTCATCGACATTAATTTGATCATATTTGTAAACTAGAGTTTCTCCGCTTTACAGCGATACCAATTATTATGCAAGAGGAATGACCGGTCGTCCTGCTTCGAGCGAAGAAAAACTTACTAAATTACGCCGAGAATTTTAAGAAATAGGACAGATTTAAGAATACGGTACTCTTACAAAACGACTAATAAAGGTGTTCTAAAATCTTTTATTGCTATTTTGATCTTTGTGTCGATAGATAGTATATTTATAGATTCATTTTTGTGAAAATCTCAATTTCAATCAAAATCAATATTTTCACTTATTTTGTCTCTAGTCCAAAATTAGATTTTGCGCATTCCGACTCACTGATATACGCAGTCACATATTTGATTCCAATGGACAGTAGCGGATTATCAGTGAGGCTGATGAGGCTGCAGCCTCAGGCCCAAAGATTTTGTAAAAAAAATTTTTTTAGACTTGTCTGATACGATTAAAAACGCATAGACAATGAATGTTAGGGGGGTGGGGTTTAGGCCCAACTGGAATCAACATAGGCCCTGACCCGAAATTAATTAAATAGGCCCTATTGTTTGGAGATCTGATCTTATTTTTTAAACGGAGGCCTACAATGTACATTAAATCCTTGCAAGTTTTCGGTTATGTCTTGCTTAATATATTGTATCCACGTGACGTCATTTATGGGCATATAAAGTTACATTACCAATATCAAACGACTTTGGCTTAAGAAAAAATATCTAGCAAAAGATCTTGCGCTAGTTTCGATGTAAACACACCATCATGAGGAAATAGCATTTTGTACGACAAATTTCAATAGTTATAACTAATATTTTAATAATATTATAACCTCAGTGACGAATCCCGTTTTTAATGTTAGCAAGTACCTTGGCTCTAACTTTAACCAGTGGCTGCCAGGCAGGATACGCCCACATTTTCGAGAGATGGATAGAGAACAAGCAAAAAAGAAAGTGATTTTTCGTACAATCAAGGGCCATAATTCAGAAAATTACAATTCGATATGCGCAAATATGGAAAGGAACCGAGATCTTTGAGTTATAAACTTACATTTCAAGTTTCAACAAAAACGGATAAAAAATTGTGACCTCTATAGGGTCCACAACCTTGATATACCATATTTTTTACCTTATTTCAAGAACGAGGGGCGGCCAATTTGTCTGTCAGTTTTGGGCTGATTTTCACGAAATTCGAACACAGCCGTCCGGTGATATATT